TCTCCTGCACCCGCTCAACTTATTTGCATAAGTAGAATTCTTTTTGCGGTATGTTACTGGACGACTAACCAATTCCTTAAAGAAAAGATTCCAACAAAAACCGCTTCTACAACTATGAATAAAGAAGATTTATAAATATCACATCTACTTACAATGAAGGGTGCACCCGCTAAACTTTGAAGGGTGCACCCGCTAAACTTTGAAGGGTACTCCGGGATATTAGATAATACAAGGAACATCAACAAAAAAACAGAAAAAAAGTCCTTCGAAATCAACCAATAAACCAAAAAAGTCATTTGAAATCAACCAAAAAACTTACAAATCCCTCGAAATCAACCAAAAAAACTTTAGAAAAATTCCTTCGAAACGATGGTATTCGGCTAAAACACATTGGACGACTTTGCAGGCCTTTGGCCCTGCACCCGCTCAACTTATTTGCATGAGTAGAACTCTTTTTGTGGTATGAAGGATGCACCCGCTAAACTTTGAATGGTGCTCGGGGATATTAGATAATACAAGGAACATCAACCAAAAAACAGAAATAAGTCCTTTGAAATCAAACAAAAAACCGAAAAAGTCACTTGAAATCAACCAAAAAACTTAAAAAGATTCATTCAAAACGGTGGAATTCGGCTAAAGCACATTGGATGACTTTGCGGGCCTTTGATCCACCTTAAAGGTGCACCCGCACGGAAAATATGTTGGGTCCGCCACTGGATGGTCGGGCGCAAAGGTTGTCCCGAAAGTCTTCAAAAGGAATTGACCATAGGCCCTATGCAAAGATATTGTCAATTTGATATCGCGAAGGAACATCAAGACTCATACATGTCCACGTGCAACTTTTTCGGGAACAAAATGGATGTCCATTTCAATGTGTTTAGTGCGTTGGTGTTGAACCAGATTACCAGACAGATAAATCGCACTAACATTATTACAATAGACCGACGTAAATTTTTTGAATTTGAAAATGAAGCTCTAAAAGTAGATTGTGTAGACAACACGGCTCGGAGACCACATTTATGACCCCAGTGTACTCGGCTTTGGCGCGAGATTGAACGAAGGTGGCTTGGCGCTTTGATGACGAAGAGATTAAGTTGTCCCCAAGAAAAACAAGGTAACTAGACGTTGAACACTAGCGTGGTAATCGAAGATGGGTAGAGGTGAAGCCCATGATGAAGCCTACCCTAAATGTATCTCATCTGAGAGCTTGCACATGTTCTTCCTCAGGTCATGCATGAAAAGCCAGAGTTGTACCGCACAAGAGATATTGAAGGGATTGGCATAAGGTGTGCTAGAAGCGGCACTTAGTTCCCGTTTGGTATCAATAGGAGTAGAGGATGGCATACATGTGGCATACGAACCTGTTCAATGATCTCTTTCGTATATTTCCTATAAGATAAGAACAAACCACCTTCAGGCTACAACAATACTCATAAAGTAACTCAATGGTCCCAGTCTTTCATTACAAAGTTGAGAAGGGCCATGATAGACTTGTGTAGAGTATCAGAAGCAGCTATAAGATGACATCATCCATATATAGAAATATGTAGGCCATATCGGGACTGCAATAATATATAAAAAGGGAATAATCAAACTTGTGGGAGAAGCCAATGGAAGAAATGATGTCTACAGAGCTTGAGCCCACACAATGATTTCTTTAGCAGATACATGATTCGAGAGAGCTATGTCCCTGAAACCCAATGGTTGATGCTTGTAAATAGTTTCCTAGAGTTTGTCATGCAAGAATGCATCTTTCATATCAAGTTGGTGTAAAATAAACGAGGGGGAAAGCTAATGTGATGGGACATGTAAGAATGTGGAACCCCATTAAAGCATCTCCAACCCACTCCCTACATCCACACTTTAATCCACGGCAACCTGTTGAGTTTTGCCATCCCCTACAATTATAAGACAGACTTATGCCTCTAAAACGATCTTCAGATTTTTTTGTCTAAAAATCCACATAGACTGAATTATATTTACATTCAGTGGACCGACCACCAACTCCCATGTCTTATTTCTAATACTCCCATGTCTTATTTTTAATTACATATTCATCTTCCATATCCATTTTCCAGTTCGGATTTATTAATAGCAGACATGGGGTTATGCGAAGGTTATTTAGATATGTGGGTGTGGAAATTGAATTGGATTTTGGGTTTGAATATCGCATGTTGACTTTGCATGACTGCCTTTGAGAAGGAATTGGAGGGACTGTGGAGAAGTGAGGAGGTCATTATGTGTTGAAGTTAGGATGGATGCAAAGCAATCAGGCATAAGCATAGAAAGTGACGCATGAGAGGGTGTTTCGAGATAGGCATACTTAAGGTTGCTACAAGGCGAGGAGCTCGAACGCCGCTGGCAGACTCAGAAAGGGAGGTGAGGTGGGTGAATATTGGGGGAGGGGTTAAGAATGGACGCGAAATGGTGAACAATGTAAAAGGAAACATCGCTATCCAAGAACTCATACGTGTGAAGTTTTTTAGTATGCAACATAGCAAAAGAGAATTGTGCTTCGTTAAAAATGGCAAGCCGACTCGAGATGATTTTATGAGTGGATAAGTGACAAAATTTGTAGCAGTGATTGGAAGGATAACCCAAAAGGACACATTATTTAGATCGTGGTTAAAGCTTATGGATTGTAATGAAGGGAATAAAGAATAACAAAGGCACCCAAACACTCGAAGATAGGAATAGGAGAGGTCTTTTTGATAAAGAATTTTACGAGGGGGATTGGCAGGCCAAGTGTTTGTTTGGAGATATGGTGAGATAGGTTGCTATTTGAGCAACATGATGCTAAAACGAAAGTGGGAAGGAAGCATGAGCAAGAAGAGTACACGAATGATGTTAATTGTCCGTATATTTCTTTCGGCTTTGCTGTTAGGAGGATGTATGTGGACAAGAGTCGAGAAAATAAACCATTACTGACGCAGAAGTCCCAAAATGACTCATTATCAAATTCCCTATCATTGTCACATTGAACATTTTTTATTTCTCGTTCAAAATGTGTTCTAATGAAAGCTCTAAAGTCTAAACGATAAGAAAGCATAAAAGACTTGAGACTTTTTCAGAGAGGAAAAATCCACAAGAAATTAGAGTAATCATTTAATAACAAGACATAATAACAATGACCCGAAGAGCTAAAAACTGGAGATGTCCACAAATTACAATATATAATATCAAATGGCATAATAGTACACAAAGTAGAAGTAACAAATTGCAACTTAATGTGTTCTCCAAGAGTGCATTAATGACAAACACGAGATTATGAAAGTTATTACAAAGCAATAATTTTTATTACACCTAAGAAATTCAAAATCTAGAGCACCCTAATGACCCAGATGCTTATGCCAAAGAGAAGATGCTAATGTTGTAAAGGTTGATGGAGACTTTCAACTATCACATCTCGTTAGGCACATCCCCATTTGAAAGTCCTTCATAGATAACCCAAAGGGATCAAATTCAACAGAAACCAAGTTATTGTTAGTGAATTTTTTAACAAGGACAAGTTTTTTTGATAAGATGTGGAATGTAAAGGACATTATTTAATGACATAGGAGAATATGAGGTTACATATGTGTGGCCATAATAGCGAATTGGAATTGTATGACACTTCCAATAACTATACCACAATTATTGCTCAAAAATCAAAGTAAGACGAGAGATAACCTAGTGTGGACGTCATATTCAATGTGGCACCAACATCCATTTACCAATTTGCACCCACCGAATTGATCCCAAGGTATGCATAACAGCTTCAAGGTCGGTTGGTATAGACTGGGCCTAGGTAGAGAAGGCTTGATGTGGTTGCAGTCCAAGAATTCTCGGGTGGTGTTGTCGATTGTTAGGTCTGTTCCAGGGGGTTGTAGGATACGAACATGGGGGAACGACCTAAGCCATTCACTACCAAGGACACCGCTGTTACCACAGTTGCTAGTTTTCACCCCCTGCTGCCACCACCTCAACCACCCTCGCAGTTCCTGCTGCCCCATGGTGCTTGGCTTTCTCGACTAAACCCGCCTGAGAATCAACATGGAATGGGCCTGGTAGAGTGATGGAAGGGGGTCACTTTGGCGGATTAGAGTAGCAACACCATTGTAATCGTCGATCAGACTCGCAACCAACCATCTGTAGAACGAGACGATTGTTGACACCGGTGCGCCCACTATCTTGAGTTGATCCAATAAGACCTTCAGCCTTTGACAATAAGCGGAGGCATTGAGCAAATCCCCCATGCTTGTGTTGGAGAATTCTTGCTCAAGGGTTACGACACGTGAGTTTTTGTTGTCTTGGAACATGTCGTCCAACTGATTTGAAACTTCAATTGCCATGGATAGCATTCAAGGATCGTGTGCAAGAGGTCATTAGAGATCATGCATAAACCACAAGAACAGTGAAATTAATGGTGGACCATAATTCATTACTCATTAGTAGCCGCTGCCTTTTCTTTACCATTAGCACGTGAGATAATATGGTCGATAAACCAATGAGACATCATATGAATCTTGAAGAGTTCCGCCCATGTTGCATATTGAACGTTTTCCATCAAGAGTGATGGAGATGTGGTTCTTGATGTTAGATACAGCTAGGGCTGGATGAAATGATCATTGACCAAAAGGAGGGGTTGGATGTTTCAGGCATGGTGGCGGGCTGGAAGTGATCGAAGTAGAAAGGGCAGATGGTGGATAGGTGGGCAATATCTACTAGGTCACGACAGAGGAGGAGAATGATAGGAGAGTTTTAGGGTCATAAAGTTGGTAATTGCTTGTCATAAAGGAATAAACTAACTCCGTGAGCCCAACAAGCAGATCAACAGACACTGGAGAGGCTAATAACATCCTAGATTATAGATATTAAAGCTAAGATTCTAGTTCATGCTACACTATGTAACTATTTTGCATTTAAGAAACAGCTACTAGAAATGGAAGACAAAAGATAAAATACTGGGATCAGATGATTATGTTTAAATACATGTGCCACAGGATCACACCAGAAGATACCTCTCAAGGATTTGATAAGGGTCCACGACAAGCTCGAGTTTCCCATCAACCCATAAAGAATACTGAACATTGGGAAAAAGCCTATGTAGTAGAAGCTTTGGCACCTGAAACACATGTAACCACAATAAGATTGTCACACATTTTCTTTGGGGAAAAGTAATGCAAATTTAGCAAAAGACAATATATCATAGTTGGTGTATCAAGTTGTAGTTCCATTTAAACATGAGGTAGGAGGTAGGATTATACAAGAAATGTGTGGAAAACAAAAACAAGCATGCCCACTTTCCACCATGAAGGAATCAACGGGAAACTAAGAGAAGTTCATCAATGGAATGTAGCTTTTCTCTCATCAAATGATTTGTGGGTCCATATGCAAAAGCATCAAATGCAGCCTATGTATGAGCAATTGTTTGTAAGACATCAATGATTGAAATACCTCCATCCCATACATATATTAAAACACATTTGTCTTGATCATTTTCCAAAGATGCTGGAAAAGGTAATGGAATCATATTAAACCAAGTATGATACAGTACCATTAATGGATTTCGTTTTAGTGGTAATACCTTGAAGGTAGTTAATTTAACCCAAAAGGTGAAAAAAACATTATGTTGAATCGGGTTTTACTTTCTGGACTGCAAGAATGATAATCTCTGGATCAAATGTAACAGGAAGATATATCTGAAAAGGAAGTAATCTGCGTAATTATCTAACGGTAGCCAGATGGTCATGAAATTAAGCTCAAGCTCAAGTTGGCAGGAATAAAGAATCAGGCTCAAACCTTAAAAACTACTTTTAGCTCAAGCTGAGCATTCTCAGATTATAACAAAACCCAAGTTATACTTTTATCACACGCAGATGATCAAGTAAAAGAAGGATGTGAATATCCAATGTTGGTGGTAGTAACTTTCTAACAGCACAAAGAAGAACTTTCTAGAAGCAAATCAATAGATATTACACTGTCTCAAACTAGAAAGACTGTTGAAAGTTTTAGTAATACAACTCTTCATGTTGTTAATTAACCTTGTTAACACTATGTTTTATCAACTCTTGTCACCTCCATAAAAAAAATGCTCATCTTAATCAAGTGCTATACGTGACGTGACAGCTTAAATGTGATTCTTCAATTCATTGAGTTTTAGGGTAATGAACCTACACTAATGTTGGGAGTCATAATTTTCACAAATGGAGCTGTACTTACCCGTTTATCTTTTCATATCTTCATTATTTATCAAGATAACTAACTTCTATTTCTATCAGAGATTTATTCAAGCAGTAAATCAATATATTTAATTAAATAATATAATTATCATGTGCGACCATTAACTATGAATCTTAAATGGTATGCACTCACCCATTATATGCTAATATCATGGAGGTTGAGGATACAAACCCCTCTTCTCCCTTGGTTGAGTCAAAAATACATAATTAAATTGTCATGTGCTTAATTGTATAGGCTATTAAACCAGTAGATAAATAGTGAGCAAGTACAAAAAACACACCTAGTCCCTCAAGGGAGTGGATTTGATAAATATCTATAGAGGCACAGAGGATTTCCCGCAACCTCCAAAGGGATGGACCAACTACCATTCAAGCTTTACACTTGAAGGTTGATAAATTTCAAATAAAGTCTACTTCTAAATATATCAGTCACGAATGTTGATTTCCAAGTACATGATCTTGTCTATTCATATACACCAGATATGTTAGGTTGGTTATGCAGAAAGGCTAAGCTAACATGCTGTAACTCACAATTACTTATCCTCTAAAAATAAACATCCAAGAATTTACATTCCTTCTAAAGAAGAATCAGGCAATTTAATGCTCTGTTGAAGGGGCCAAGGCCTCAAAACAATTGGTAAGATCACAATTTCATGATTGGAAGGTCATGGGTGTCATGGGAATGGACATAGCCTCTTTTCTTAAATCAACGGAAAGGTTGTGTAAAAAGACTTCCCTCTCCACCCCACACAAAGTCGACGAGCCTTGGTGCATCCGAGCTCTCTTGGAATAAGTTCGGCAGCGGATCACGAAAGCTTGGTCTTCTGGGGTTTCCACGCTTGAAAAAAAGAACCTGGGGCGGCACGGGGACGTAAAAAGGAAAGAGAGGAATGGGGTTTCTCTCGCTTTTGGCATAGTGAGCCCCCCATTTTTTAATGCAATGTTCAACCTTTAGCTCAGCCATATAATCATATAACTAAAATCATCATAAATAACAAACTTAGAATATGCACAGTATGCATGGGCTTGAACTTTATGTCTAACTAAAAGTAGAAACAATTGATTTCGAACTTTAAGGTCACATAGGCTCATAATTACCTGAAACACATACAACCACGTCTCACTTAATAGTTGTCCATAATTATCACTCAATTTTTTTTTCGAGGGGGGGCCCTTAAATACAGCTAGTCAAAAACTAGCTACACTCAACTAAGAAATCATGGTTTCACTCATTTATACCGTTTTCCTCCCTTCTCCATTTTTGCGGATCGTATATCTATTCCCTCACCTTCAATAAAGGGATACAATCACATCTCCATTTCTCCTCACACTTTACAATTGGAACCCATAAACTGGAAAACGTTAATGGCTGAAACAAACAGAACGAACCAAAAGATAAATAACATAGCACAAAAAAATTACCTTTCCATTACGTCTTGGGTCGGTGTATGGCAGGTTGTGGACAACAACAATCCTCCACAACCCTATCCTCTTGTTATCGTCTAGATCACTTGAATTTTTAAGAAATCTTTCTGTTTGTTCGTCGACAAACATGAAAAAGCAAACATTCTTCTTTGAAAAATCACTAATGTTCTTTGGTTGATGAATCAAATCATAGGCTCCTGCAGAGCTTATATCATTAGAAACATTCCATGTGTTGAAACTTGAAAGTAGGAAGTTTGAAAAGATCTATAAGATACCAAATATTGCTGATGCAACCAGGACTCCCCCACACTGATCCATCTCAAAAAGATCTGAATCGTCGATATCAAATTTCGTCTTGCGTCCAGGCTTATCTCCTGTGACAAATCTTTTGGTGTAATTATGCACCAATTATAATTAGAATCAGTGACAAAAATCATTTGTTTCAAAAACAATTTATAAAAATGACCCAGAGTTCTGGACAAAACATACCCACAATGCATGATCATTGACTCCTTAATGTCATAAGATTCAAGTCTCTGCTTCAGAGAAGGATATCCGCCAAATACCGAGCCTCCAAACTCACTTCTAGTTGAATTTTCTTCGTGGATGTAAGTCAGGTTTTTGACTATAGGAGAATATGATGGGGATTTTGGCATTAAAGCAATAGCTTCTTCCACCAGAAGGTAACACACTGGACATGCTGAGCATAGAATAGTGTCACAAACTTGATGTTTTAGGTACGCCCAAGGGATTAGAAATTTTTATTATGTCATAGCATTTTCCATGTATAATTTGCATTGACATGTTAATGTTGGTGGCAAGAGCTAAGCAGATGATTAGTTCTAAGTGTAAACAAAAGGCAAACATTTGAACTTACGACGTGGCCCGGTTCTTTTCTTATCTGCTGGTGGTGGAGGCAATGTAAAGTTCTCGCAAGGATTCCCAGGAAGAAGGGAATATCCTGTAAAATAATTAGGAGCTAGAGGAGGTTGAGCTGTAATTCTTTTATCATCATTAATGATATTCTTCGTCTCATCATTCGCTAAAGAACGATTAAACTCGTGAGTCTTTATCTTATCAACACTTGCTGGTGAATATCCAGAAAATCCTACAGCTGAATTGTTTATGAATCCTAAGGTCCAAATAGGGGAAAATTCTTGTGTAACCTCACCTGCAAATAACACAAAGACGGACTATAATTTCAAATAGAAATGCATCTATGGATGTCATGCATCTAAATTCTTTAGCTACAGCTTTTCATGACAAGAGAGACATTAAGAAGGTGCAAACCCAAAAGATTATAGTTAAATATTCAAAGAAATCATTCCACCCAGTTCCTACAAATAATATGCTAGATTGCTTCACAGTTTTTTATTTCATATTTTGGAAATCTACCACTTGAGAATACCATAATGAGTTTACTTTGGAAGAGGCTGAATTAAGTTCGTAAAAGAATGTTTATGAAGTACATAAACCAATCTTTTACCCTTCTAGCTGAAATTGGTTAATAGACGGGAGAGGATTACAGTTCCATTGGCATATACCATGTTCCTGGGTTCTTCTTTCTCTATTTAGTGGGTCCTGTTTCATTTTTTTCACAGACAACCATATGTTCATTTATTTGTGCACCATTCCCACAAAGGGGAAATATTAAAGGGAAAAATAGATTTCCCTGGTATCAATCAACTGACTCTTCAATTGATTCCAGCCGTCATCTTTTTCTTCCAGTCATCCCAATCAACGTCTTTATCATCTGAATCTATTTTCCCAGTTACTGAATTACCGACCGTCAAAAACGTCAAGTTACCTGTAAGTTATTTCTCAATCTGTTTTCTGTTACTGCTGATTCAGTCATCCTCAAGACACCTAATCCAGAATCATTCCACCTTTCATTTGAAACTTTTGAGTATAATTGCTACCCACAAGTATCCAAGTATTCCTAACAAATGCACCAGTAAAATCCCATGCGGAGTAGGGTCTGGGGAGGGTAAGATGTACACTGACATTTCCTCTACCCAAATGAAGAGAGACTATGTCCATGAAGAAGCTCGCAAAAAATTCTTTTTTTGCAAAAATTTTGGAGTTGTAACTAAATAACAAGAAATTAAGTTTTGAAAGGTTGAACAAGAGCTTAAGCCAAATTCAGGAAGGGAAGAAAGATGCGGAAAAGTAGAGCAAGTAAATCAGTTAGAGTAAGTATGCATAGTAAACAGCATGAAAATATATGAAAACAAGTAAGGACATTAAAGCATAAAGAGAAGTGCTAAACATCTAAACGACCTAACACACAAGTGAGCCGAAAGACCCATCATGGCTAAACTAGCACAAAAGCTATTTCTGACCATAAAAAGCCCCCTACCTATCCTGGCACGCTGATACGTAGTTATCTGCTCTTCACTATCCCCAATCCCACCATCTATAACTCCAACCCCCTCCCCTGAATGCAGAAGCCACAAGTCCTAGCACAAAATCTGTTACCCTACCCAAGGGCCTTTGGCCTAGAGGTGTGTGAATCCTTGGCCTCCTAGGAGGTCAAGGGTTCAAACCTCACCAAAGGTGAGGAGGGTGTGTGAGTTTATTTGTTCTATTTGCCGTGTAGAGATATTATATACTTTAAAAAAAATCTGTTACCCTACTCCTGCATCTCCACAAACTCCTATCTAAGGTCATATCTTCGGAAATTTCTAAAAACGAGATGTCTGGTCTCAGTTGCTTACCCCAATTGCTAGGTCAGTTTAGGCAAGCTTCTATTCTGGGCTTGGACATTACAAATGGTGTCATAGTAATGGCTCCTCTTATATGTATTAAGTAATGGGCTACCAATGACCTACTGTGGTTTCAGTTGATTCGATGTTATTTGGGACCAGTGTAATGTGTATGGATTGAGGCATTACAAATGATATCATAACTTAAGGTTTGGTTTCGTAGATTGCATTTCGGATTGACCCACAAGTTATTGAGATAATAGTTACTAGTCTTGTTCCTAATGAGCACATCATGAGTTTTAAGTGGGAGAATTTGTAGAATCCTGTCCTACATTAACTATATGTATAAACCTTTCTCATTGGGCCACCATTAACCTCTAGCCTCTAGGACTTCTCTTTTGATGAACCAGTTTGCTCCTTGGCCTACAGGCTATTAGTTTACCGTTGTTCTGCTCCTACTGGCCGGTGCCTATGCCATGCTCACACATCCTCCATTCAATGTCCACCTGTTCAGTTGTGTTCAATTATTAACTGCAACATGGACATGATAATTCAGCCCTAAATAAACCATATATGCATTTCATTGTTGAACAAGGAACTGATAACAGATCCAGAAACTAAATTGAACTAAACTCAATTAAAAGGCTGTAAACATTAAATTAAAATTTGATAAAAAAAAATCTGAGAAACAAACTTCAGTTGGACTTGAACATAATGCAGTAAACATGAATAAGAAAAACATATTATCAACATATACAAAAGACACATGATCCTAAAACAAAATAATGGAGTAACAACCAAACAAACTGCACTATATGATCTTAAAAACAAAACAATGAAGTAGCAAAAACCCAGGATATGAGTTGAGCTAAAAATAAACCAAAAGGCAGAAATATAACAAGATATTGCTAAAAGACCAATAAAGAAGATAGGATAAAACCCAGATGAACAATGTGAAATGCACATAGACCCCATAAGTTAAATCAACAATATGCAGGGCCATTCTTGGCTACCGAAACACTCCAATGCCAATAAGTCATCAAATAATTCAGCATTACTTTCTTTTTCAAGTTCCCAAGGTGATTCCCATAGATTTGAAAGGAACTGTTGAACGTCCATAGTCATGGATTACCAAATACTAACAAAGAACCAGAAACTAGATAGTACTAGCATCAAAGTATCAAAAAGTGAATGAGTGAATGGATTGAAGAGGATGAATTGACAGCATAAGCCCAGAAAATAAATTGAGTTATAATATAAAAGAATACAGTCAAGAATTGCATAAATTAATTACTCAATTGGTGCAATCAAAGAGTGCCCTTTTAATTGTGTACATTAAAACCTAATACTTTCCCAATTTCATGATTAAAGAATAGATGTTGATAGTTTCTTTATATCTCCAAATGATTCTGTTATAATACCTTTTCTGAAGCATAAAGCCAGCCATCATTGTTTATAAGCAAATAAAATAACTCTCGGCTAGAATCTCACTCATTTGACACTCCAAAATCAAACGGAGCGGCAGTAAAAGTTATCAAACAACTGAATAGAGAAATCTATTGATTTTAGGAAAAATCTAAGAATAGAACCTTTGCCAACATAAAGTATCCACAACATAACTGCAACTGAAACAAAACACAAGAGCAGCATTCCCAGCTCCTTCCGAGGTGTGAATTTAAACATCCACATGAACATATCATCCTTCTCTTTATTAATAAACATATTTGATGCTTTTCTGCAAGTAACTGGTAGAATGGATTGATCAACTTTTTGTTGTAAGAACACTTCGCCGTTTTGATTTTGTTGTTGATACGGTTGTAATGAACCATAACTTGATGGTCTTAGATCCAATGGCACATTAGTCATTGTCATGCTTCCTCCAAAACTCAAAATTCTCTATCATATCATTCTCCCAGCTCCTCTAATAGATTAGAGGTGTAGCAACATTATTAACTAAATCAAACAGTCTTTTAAGTTGTGGAGACACGAGAGCGAGCCTAAAACTTTGGTTCTCCTCTGTGTTTGAAAAATCTAAAACCTCACCAACATCCCGAAATCATGTTCTTCTGCAGATCTAGAACTTGTTGATGATGTGAAAAACTGCTTGAATTGTGGAAATCTGAATTGGGAATTTTAATAGATGGGTGAAGATCGAGGAAGCATCGAAGACAATAGCGGTGGGGTTTATAGGAGCATTCTCAACATCACTGAACTAATTTACTGAGCAATGTCAAACTAATTTAGCACGCGAAAAGGAATTGTAATTGAATTTAGTTAGACTAATGAATTGAAATATTTCTGTTTGGTTTGTAACAGAATTGGAATAAAATTATGGACGATAAAAATACCCTTTCTTTTATATTTTTTTTTAAAATTATTTTAATTTTTTAATTACAAAAAACTCTTCTCTGTGTTTTTGTTTCATCGGCGACCCAGACCCAGATCTGTTCAAAAATACTGCTCGCCTCTGTCCAAAAATACCCACTTCTGCCTCCGTCCAAAGATACTACTCGCCTTCGTCCAAAAATACTGTTTGTCTCTCGATTCACATCTATTGCTCGCCTCTTCATCTCGTCTCGTCCTCTGTCGTTTCCTTTTTTTCAAAAAAAAGCTAGTATCCTCCCTTCGACTTCATTTCAATTCTCATTCGTTTTGTCCACCTTCGCCTCTTCAAGTTGGCTCCTTCTCGAAATGACTAAAGTCTGACCAAGACAGGTCCTTAGTCTGTAGTTCTTTCGCCTTATCAGGCTCTTGTCTCACCCTCTGTTGAAAATGGGTTTGGGTTCAGAATATGAATAGAGCTGATTTGGGTTTGATTTTGGGGTTTGCGTTTACATTGGGTTTAATTTGGTGTTTGATTTTGGCGTTTGATTTTGAATCAAGAGTTTGATTTGGTGTTTGATTTTGAATCAAGAGTTTGGAGGCGAGTATCATAAGCATCAGTTTTTGAATCGAGAGTTTGACCAAGAGTTTGGAGGGGGAACATCAGTTTTAGGAATGAATTTCAATTATTGATGAGGGTATTTTTATCATTTCCACATTTTTGGATGAAATGGATTTCAATTCCATCAGTTTTAGAAAGGAATTGTGAAATTCTCAAATGAGGGAATGTTTGGAATTCAATTCCATTCCACGGGTAACCAAACATTGGAATGGAATTTGGTCAATGTAATTGACCATTCCAATTTCATCAGATTCCGACGGACTCCGACGAACCAAACGCCCCCTAAGGGTGTTAGCTAGGGTGCTCATGGGTTGGATTGATTGGATTAAAGATATTTGAATAACTCAACCCAATATTTGCGGTTTGAAAAATCTTAACCCAAACCAAGTGCAACCCAACCCAACCCAAATTGTACAGGTTGGTCGGTTTAGTCGGGTTGATATTTTGGTACATTAAAATATTATTCTAACCTTGAATATGTTAGTTCTCTACTCATAATTTCTTTTTCATCATCAATCATTTGATACAACTTGTCTATACTTCTTACGTATATCACATTCAATTAATTTTCTCAATTTACATATATATATGTTCATATTGAACATATATAGAAATGAGTTATATAGAGATGAATAGATTGAAAATATGTGTATACGAATAGTGTACGTGATAGTGTAATTGGCTAATGTATATATTAATAGAAATTCAACAATCGTATTAAATTCAAGAAATAAAAGGATATGGGGTTCATCAGGTTGGGTTGGGTTCAAATAATACCAATATCAACCCAATACCTACGGTTTGAAAATTTTACCACTCAATTAGACGTCAGGTTGGGTTCGGTTGATCCGGTTGGCCGAGTTTTTGAGCGGCCATAGTGTTACCCTTGTTTTTTTTTTGGTTTCCAACACTTAATTGATCGTTTTTTTACATTTTTAGAGCCTCTTATTTCTTAACAGGATCTAAATAAAAAATTGGTAATCCAACTTGTTAATCCCCTCTTCTTCGCTTACTGCCTACCACACCTCCATTGCCCAAATTGATCTTGACGACTCCAAGTTCATACGGCTCCCGACCCAATCGAGATCAAATCTAGTTGATCTCCCCTCCCCTCCCCTCCCCTCCCCTCCCCTCCCGTTTTTCTGCCGATTTGGTCCTTGTATGTTGTACATGGTTCGAACCTGTAGTTTGATTTTGTCCTTATAGGTTGTACATGGTTCGAACMTGTGGTTTGATTTCATCCCTATAGGTTGTACATGGTTCGAACAAGTGGTTTGATTTCATCCCTATAGGTTGTACATGGTTTGAACCCATCGTTTGATTTAGTCACAGTTTATGTTTCTGTGGTTCAAATATGTTTTGATTTCGTACTTCCCCCCCTCTTGTTATCTTTGTCGATTTCGTCCATATGTGATGTACATGGTTCGAACATACATGACAGGTTTTCGGTACTTGTGGTTTGATTTCGTCCATGGTTGATACTCTTCAAACTTTGTCCATTTCTTTGATTTCATGATTTTGTCCATGTGGGATGTACAGGCTAACTTTTTATGTACATTTCTTGCTATATCACTTGGAGTGTAGTTTTTGATGAATGTGGTTGTTTAGTGTAGGTATCACAGTTCAATAATTTGATGAATGTGGTTGCCAAGAATGATGCAAGTATCGTTTAGGTGCAGAAAATCTTTTGTATTATGATCATCATTCATCAAATATGATGCAGATGATCTTGTGTATTATAACATCGTCAAAAACGATCCAAGTATTGTTTTAGGTGCAGAATCGTGTTTTATCAAGTTCTTGTTCTGGCCATATTAGGACATCCTTGATCATGGTTCCAACCATATTAGGACATTCTTGATCATGGTTCCGACCACCTTAGTACATTTTTTATCGTGGTTCTGACCATCTTCAAACATTCTTGATCATGGTTCCTTCAACAACTTTAGTAGGTCTTAGCTAAAAATTATTGATTCATATTTTAGATTCCAAACGTTTGTTTACAAAAACAAATAGTGGTATTCATTCAGATTCAGAATTCAACACCACCTTTATAAATCAGAAGTGAAACCATACTTCAACACCTCTTAAAAAATAAATGTCACTTTATCTTTTCTGTAAAAATGCTTATCAACTTATGTGATGTCAAACCGGAGTTTTATAAAACGTGTTTGGATTGGCGGTACGAAAACATAATAAGCTGGTAAATATTTGTTTTTCTCCATCCAAACACTAATAACTTCTTATTACCGGTACCACATGGGAATAAGTTAATAAGTTAGAAGGGAGTAACTTAATAAAAACTTATTGCCGGTATCATATCGATATAAGTATTTTCTTTCTATTCAAACAATAACTGGGAATGAAAAACTCATAGGTGTCGTTTGGTTCACAGATTCTTAAGAAATCTGATGGAAGTAAAATGTTGAATTCTTTTGACCACATTTCATTTCGTTGTTTGGTTCGTTCTTTTTACCGGAAGGAATCTCTAAATTCCATCGAATTCCATGAACGAAGGATTTTGACATTCCATGAGATATATGCGGTATTTTAAAGGAATGAAATTTAACTTTTTTATAATTCCAAAAATACCCTCTAACCCAGATATACCCTAATATGTTTCACAAATCACACCTGACACCCTCCATTGTCTTCATCTCGTCTTCTCCACTGCCACACCAGTGTCTTCACCACAGGTTCGATTTTGTCTTCTCCATCTCGTCTTCTATTTGTCGATTCAATTTTGGTTCGGTTTATGTTCGATTTCTGTTCCATCTTGTCTTATCCATCTTGTCTTCTATTTGTTGTTCGGTTTAGCTTCGGTTTCTGTTTATTCAACCATGGATGGTGATATCCAATGAATGAATTTCAGTTTTTTAGAGTTCAATAATGGTTGATTGGAGCATAACAAAAAAAGTGTTAACGATTTGTAGTTGTCACCCTGGTGTCTATTACAACTGTCACTTCCTTTGCTCCACATTTCTACATGGACAAATTGGATGCATACATAAACATATCAAATGAATAATGATTTTGAAAATCAAAAGGATTAGGCGGTTGGTGTTCAGAATGGCCCAGAGGGGCTATGTTCTAAAAATTAGAGTAACAGATGAATAAGAATAACAGATACAATAATCTATCAAGCCAGAAACATTTCAAATTTAGTTTCATAAACTAGGTAATATAGGCATGACAAAAAATGTTAGAAGGTAGAATTTAGGGTGACATGATGGAAAGTAGGTTTAGAAAGCTTCACACTAGAAGTAACATTAGGAACTCATGGATTCACACCCAAAGTCGATCCACTCAACATATAAAAAGTATTTCCTCAACACCTGATTCGTTCATGGAGTCAATAAAAATAGATTTAGGAATTCCTTGATCATATAGAAATGTTAACCACTTAACCCAGTCAATAAAAATAGATTCATTCGTTCTATTAGCCCTTCATTATTTCTTGTGTTTTAAGATCTATTGAACTTTGTTTCCACAAGTGTTAAAACCAAAAGAAGTGCATTCTTGATGTTTTAATTATTAAATGGACTTGATAGCACATGTTATGCTGTTATAGTGGTGAAATACAAAATTGCGGCCATGACCGATATTTGAAATAAACAAAAAAGTGTTAACCTTGTATACAACTTATATTGCTTTGCCGACACATATAAGAACATAAACAAAACAAAAAAGTCATAACTCTAGTAGGTTTGATGCTATTGTTGCATTTTCTCTTTTCCTTGATGGTAATTGTAATATCCTACTTTGGATCATTTAGGTGCTTGATGCTATTGTTGCCTCTTTTATAATCCAACTCTATCAATTCAAGGACTCAAGCTAAATAAAGCACTTGCCTTAACAAATCTGTTTTGGATACAAAGGTGCTTTGTATATAAATCTATTTCATGCTATATGAATTACCCTTTCATCAACAAATTTGTTTTGGTTTAACAAGTTGTTAAATGGATGTTTTTGCTAGATGAATTACCCTTTCATCAACAGTTGTAATAACATATTCCTAATATGGTCTATAAACAGGAAATGACCCGAATTAGTCTCACAACACGCAAATGTAGGATTCTGTGATTGTTTTTGGAAGAAGCTATAAGCGCTATTACTTGGTTTTTCATTACAATTTGTTGTTTAGTAGCCAAACATAGAAAGGACAGACCCCGTATTCAATATTTGTGTTCAAATATGGATCGATCTACAATATTGCATAGGTATGC